ATTGTGTAGTTCAAATTGTTCTCAGTCCCCAACTAAGAAAACAGAACAGATGGGAATTTGATACTGATAGAATCTTTATCATACATAAAAACTGATGCAATCTTTATTTATTATAAAGCAGAGTGAGGCAATTATCCATCTTTGTATTTTTAAATATGAAGAAAAAATGCTCTTCTAGCAACACAGCTCCTGTCTGCAAATTGAACAGGAGCATAAGATGCCAGTCAAACAAAAGGCAATATAAATAGAAAGCATGGTGAGCTCTGCTGTAACTTGTTTTGAAAACACAAATTTATTCCGACGCAACTGATATAAGGGAACCATCTGAGCCTAACACAGATTCTGCACTGGCTTGTGCATGATTTTCGTCCATCAGAAACACTAGGTGAACGCAGAGACCCACACCCAGCCGAACTGAGCCACGCAGGGTACACACAATGTGCACACACCTCACATGTCTATCAGCTGCGCCAGTTCACCACGTGTTCTGAGCCACACCTATCCACATCTTTCCTTGACTCAGACAACCATCCTTCCTCACTACACAATCACTCAGAAGCTGCAATCCTTCTCACACTCACTCGCACAGGCCGACTTCCGGTCACATTAATTGTAGCATGTATGTGTTCGTTCCTTAACCACTTAGCATGTGCAGAGCAGTGCTACCTACTTTTTTATTACTGTGTCACTGGTAACGTTTTTTATTTTTGTGCCCTAACCCCACTTTTCCCATAAGCCCTGTGGGTTTTTTAATTGCATGATTCTGGATAGCACAGTGAATTTTAGGAACACCCAAGTCACATGATAGCAGAACTTACTGTTCTCCCACAGTTGGTTAAATTTTGAAAAAGGAAATACATAGCATTATTAATTGGTACACCCTTCTAGCAGTCAGGTGGCAATACAGGGTGGGGCAAAAGCAGGTTTACAGTTGTGAGTACATGAAACAGTTTATTCCTGTATTATCATTGACTAATTATTGTATTATTTTCATATGAACAACTGTAAACCTACTTTTGCCCCAGTCTGTATTGACCAACTATGTCCATATCTTTTGACCAAGTAACCCCATCCTAGGAAACACAAGACATAATTCAACAGGAATTATAGACATAATTCAATAGGAAAAAGGAAATGAGATGAATGCATTAAGATGTTCATTGTGACATTGATGTGTGTGTGTGTAAAGCCACCAAACTTAAAATTTATAAATACTATGTAATTAAATAGTAAATGATATGATATATTATACACTAGGTGAAAAGGGGGGAGTATTTAAACCGATTAATAGTATGAAAACAAAGAGAAAAAATATTTGTTTATACACACATATATAGAGAGCTGTGTTTTAAAAAAAATTTAAAGCTACGTCACCCAGAAGGGTTTTAAACATGCTAATTTTCCATTTTTTAAAAAGTCAGAAATAGTTCTTCACTGCAGATCACATACCCAGCACACTATTTCTAAATGTGAAGGAAGTAATTTGAAATTTTAGTTTCATGAATACATATTTTTGTAACAGTACAAATCTGAATTCTGAACTACAGCTGGTCATCTTCATTTGTCACTAAAACTAATTTGCAGCCCTGCTGCTTGCTGTAAATATGGAAACAATAGTCCCTTTGCAACATGCAAACACACAGGACAAAGCATACCAACAGAAAGTAAAGGTTCTATTGAACAACAGGTAAGTTGTTGCTTGCACACTGATTGTGTTAATGGGAGAAAAAGAGGTGGTAGAGTTTGATGCAAGCAAGGCCATTGCCAGGAAAGCTACTTTCTGGACAAACCAGATGGTCAACAGGAAGTGGGGCAATTTCATGTTTAGCACTGAAGGAACCGCCCAATGGATTCTGTGAAAATATATATAAAGTCCACATCAGAGTCTCCAAATCTGCCCAAACTCTTACACAGGGAACCAGACGTTGACAGTGCATGTGGGGTCTCGGGTTGGGCAGACACGCCTGCCTGCACACCAGGGAGGGGATAAAGATGGGATTACTTTAATGTTTTTGAGTGTTTTTACTGTGTTTTAGTTGATTTCTAATTTCATTCCATTGTGATCTGAGAAGATACTAGATTTGATTTCAATCTTCTTGAACTTGTAGAAACTTGTTTTGTGTCCTAACATGTGGTGTATCTTTGAAAATGACCCATGTGCATTTGAGAAGAATATATACTCTGCAGCTTTGGGGTGAAATGTTCTATAAATGTCAATTAAATCCATCTGATCCAGTGTGTCATTTAGAGTCAGTGTTTCCTTCTTAATTTTTTGTCTGAAGGATTCAGTCAGTGAAGTCAGCAGTAGAAGTCCCCTACTATGACTGTATTGTCAATCACTCCCTTAAAGTCCTCTAGAAGTTTTATGTATAGATTTAGGTACTCCTATATTGGGTGCATATGTATTTACCAGGGTTACAGCCCCTTATTGGAGCAATCCCTTTAGTATTATGTAAGTGGCCTTTGCTGTCTATTGTGATGGCCTTCATTTTGATGTCCATTTTGTCAAATATGAGTATTGTCACCCCAGCCTTTTCTTCGTTTCCATTCGCATGGAAAAAAATTTTCCAACCCTTCACTCTGATCCTGTGTGTCTTTTGTTCTGAGGTGGATCTCTTGTAGACAGCATATAATTTGGTCATGTTTTCATATCCATTCAGCTACCCTATGTCTTTTGATTGGAGCATTTAATCCATTTACATTTAATGTTATTATTGATAGGTACTTATTTATTGCCATTTTTAATTCTTTATGCCTATGTTTCTCTATTTCTTCTTCTCATTACAACAGTCCCTTTAACATTTCTTGCAGTGCTGGTTTGTTGGTGATAAACTCCTTTATCTTTTTTTTGTCTGGGATGCACTTTATTTCACCATCTATTTTGAATGATAGCCTTGCTGGATATAGTAATATTGTTTTCAGATCCTTGCTTTTCATTACCTTGAATACTTCATGCCATTCCCTCCTGGTGTATAGAGTTTCTGATGGCAAATCAGCTAACAGCCTTATTGGAGCTCCTTTGTAGGTAACAATTACTTTTCTCTCGCTTGTCTTTAAATTTTGGCATTTTAATTATGATGTGTCTGGACATGGGCCTGTTTGGGTTCTTCTTGCTTGGGACTCTCTGTGCCTCCTGAGCTTGTGTGACTTTTTCCTTTACCAGGTTAGGGAAGTCTTTGCCATTATTTCTTCAAGCACGTTCTCTATCCCTCGCTCGCTTTCTGCCCCTTCTGGCACTCCTATTATGTGAATATTGTTGCATTTTATGTTGTCCTGCAAATCCCTTAAGCTGTCCTCCTGATTTTTGTTTTTCCTTTTTGGTTCTCTGATTGAGTGATTTTTTTTTCTACTCTGTCTTCTAATTCACTAATCCAATCCTTGGCTTCTCCTAATCTGCTGTGTTGTCCTTCCACTATGTTCTTTATTAGCGCTATGTCATCCCTCATAGTTACTATATCTTTTCTCATGTGGTTGAGTAGCTTTGCCATCATTATTCTGAACTCTATCTCTGATAAATTTCTTCTCTCCATTTCATTTAGCTCTTCTTCTGAAGAATTCTCTTGTTCTTTCATTTGGGACTTTTTTTTATCTCCCCATTTTGGCTGCCTATTTGGGTTTGTGTCTGTGTGTTAAGTAGATCTACTCTGACTCCCAATCTCTAGTGCAGGACAGTGTCAGACGCTGTTTGTGACTGGTCCTGAGTACCCTGTTTGGAGATATCCGCAATTCACAGCTTGTGGCTCCCTCTACTTGGCTGGGTGCCTTTAGATAGGACCAAGTTGTGCACCAGGGTCTTCTTATCCTAGCCCAGGGCCCAGGATTAGATCAGGCAAGACTCAAAGCCTCCAGAGACCTGCCTCTGCCTGCAATCCCACTGACCTTTAGTTTTGATCAGCCTCAGGCTATCAACCACAGAGTTGGGTGAGAGGTCTTCCAATAAGGTGGGGCAACTGCCTCCCCCCCTAGGCAAAAACTGCCTGGCAAGCAAAGGTCCACCAGAAAAAGATGTCCTCTGCAGTGTGAGGAAATGACTGCGCATAGGAAACCAGAGTGACTGCCCTTGGAGCTCCAACCCCAAAGTCCCCAAACCTGGCTTCTTCTCACACAGCTCCAGTCCATTCTGCCCTCCCTCAGCTGGAGCCCAAAGTAAGTGGCTACACACAAAATTTTGTGTGTTGGCCCTTTAAAAGAGGGTGCCTGCATTTCTGGCCATCTCTCACTGGAAGACAGTAATCGTGCTGCTTTTCGCAGTCAGATGTTATGTGGGCACCTTTCTCAGTTCTGGTGATCTGTGTTTGGGAGCCCAGCTTAGAGTTTAGACCCCAGAGTTCTCAGTAGGAACCCCTCACAGCTGAGGTATCTCTCCATAACTTCAGCTGCTGTCTGTGGGAGCCTGGACAGCCCTTTTGCACCTCCACACTTCCTACCAGTCTCCATGCGGTCTCCACTTTCTGTCCTTCATTATCAAGGTTCTTCCCAGCTAGTCTTCAGTTGATTTTTCAGGGTGTTTTTTCTGTATTTTAGTTGTATTTCCAGTTTGGTCTTGGGAGAGTGTCAGTATTGCATCCACTTACTCCACCGCCATTTTGGAATCTTCTCAAGATGGGATTACTTTGAATGTTTAACAGAAAATCCTGTTTTTGTTGGCTTTCCCATACCAAAAAGTTCTCTCCTCCTCTGAACACCCGGGATGCAAAGTAGGAAAGAGTGTTCCAACTTTGGATCTTAACAGCCCTGGGATTTAATTCAAACTATTTTTTGTGTGACCCTCGACAAATTACTTTACCTCTCTGGGCCTCCCTTTCCCCTTCAAAAATGCAGAAATAAAAGTATCTCTCAAGTGTTTGTTCTGAGGAGTCTTTTAAAAAGCAACATACCTGATCCGGAGAGGGGCTTAATAAATCCTCATTAAATCTCAAGTTTAATATTTTGAGACATTCCTACTGCCTCTACTCCCAACCTTGACTTCATCCATGCCTGATGTCTCCAGAAAGAACATAATGGCCTGGCTGACCCAGCTCAATGTGGCACCAAGGGATAGAAACTCCAACAGGATCCAAATTACCCATTATCCAACCAACACTGGATTAGGACAACCAGCTTCACCCACACCAACAGCCCAAGCTACATGTGTGAGGATGGTGAGGGTGGAAGGCAAAAGGGACAGTGAATATTAAGAATTGTTTGTCACACTTAAAAAAAAGAGAAAGAATCCATACCACTGCTCATTATGATTCAACTAAATGCAGTTAAGTTTGTACCTGTTTTAAAGTAATATCCAAAAGCCCCTCAAAAATAATCACTTAATGTTGGAGAGGTTGGAGAGAAAAATGAACCCTTACTTGTTGCTGGTGGGATTTTAAATTGGTACAACCACGCCCTAACCAGTTTGGCTCAGTGGATAGAGCATCAGCCTGTGGACTCAAGGTTCCCGGGTTCAATTCCGGTCAAGGGCATGTACCTTGGTTGTGGGCACATCCCCAGTAGGGAGTGTGCAGGAGGCAGCTGATGGATGGTTCTCTCTCGTCGATGTTTCTAACTATCCCTCTCCCTTCCTCTCTGTAAAAAATCAATAAAATATATTTTTAAAAAATTGGTACAGCAACTATGGAAAACAGTATGAAGACTCCTTAAAAAATTAAGACCATATGATCCAGTAATCCCTGTTCTGGGTATCTACCCCAAATTTTTTTTAAACAAGATATATGCACTCCTACATTCATTGTAGCATTATTCAGAGTGGCCAAGACATGAAAATAATCAAAGTGTCTTTTGTTAAATTATTGGATAAAGAAGATGAGGTACATATATACTATGAAATATTATTCACCCATAAGAAAAGTTGAAATATTGCCATTTGCAACAACATGGATGGATCTTGATAATATCATGCTAAGTAAAATAAGTCAGATGAAAAAAAGTCAAGAACTGTATGATTTCACTCATATGTGGGATATAAAACTAAAAGCAATAAATGATCAAATAAGATGAACAAAAACTCATAGATACAGTAACAGTATGGTGGCTACCAGAGGGAAAGGAGAGGTATTAAAGGGTAAAGCGAGTCAAATATATGGTGACAGAAAGATATTTGACTTTGGGTGGTGGACACACAATGCAACATATAGATGATATATTATAGAATTGTATACTTGAAACCTATATAATTTTATTAAGCTATGTCACTCCAATGAATTTAATTTAAAAAAATTTTAAATCACTTTATCATGTGGAATCTGTTCCTATAACCAATGGCGTAAATTATCACTGCCTGGTGTCCTTTGTCTGCCCTTGAAATTCTCTCTGATTCATTTCTCAGCATCATAATGATGTTGGTTGCTGGCTCTGCTACATGGCAGCTAGCCCCTCGTGTCTCTCTGCTGCCTTGCCGCAGCAGCAAGAAATTGAATACTCACAGATAGGATCCCCTCCCAAACAGCAACCCAAAGGCAGCCAGATCTCCTCCCTCCACTGTGTAGGTGAGCTACTGCTAAGAGGACTCAGTAGGTCCGAACAGAGTGCTTAGAAAAAAACCATAATGACGTCCCCCTACCTCCCTCCCTCCCGCCCCACACACCTCCTGCATGTGTATATGTAGCTGCAAAGCAGAGCTCTGAGATGAAAGGGAAATACAGTGGCTAAAAGAAAATGCAATTGCTAAGAAACACATTTCCCTTCATCTGATTTATGTAGTATGCATAGCTGGCTCTGTCACTTTGGTATACCCACGGGCTGTCACTAGATAAGTAACACCCAGCCCAAAGGGGCACTGCCCTCCTTAGTAGCAAATGAGTGCTTTCTGCTGAAACCTAACAGAAAAGGACAAGAGGAGGAGGCCACCAGATATTGGAAGCCAAGGGCACCCAGGTCCAGGGGGGTGTGGCTTCATTAATAAAGTGTTTAGATGCAAACAAGAGCCTTTCCATGGCCCCAGCAATGCTACTTACTTATACAAGAGTAATTCTTTAAGACATTACATTCCTTGAGCACATGGTCCCTGATCTATTGAGCTCCGTATTCTCCTCCTCATACCGCCTCATCAATGCCTGGCACGCTATAGGCACTTAATAAGGGCTAGGTGGATGGGTGGTTAGGTGCATGTGTAGGCAGAAGCATGGATGAATACATGGAGGGGTAGCTGGATGGAATTTTTAAAGAAGCTAAGAGGAGCTGTGAGTTCAGTGCATTGAAAGGGAAATTCTAAAATCATTCAGGTGACAATCAGATTGCCATCTGCTATTTGTAGACAAACATTCAGAAGATTGGCAGCATTTTAATTAAATCAAATGGCCATTGAGATGCACTGTAACAACAGCCTGGGCTACTGTTCAAGAGGTTCTATTGGAATATTGATGCTTAGCCCAGAGCGCAAAAGATCCCTCTAAACCTTTGATTAGCTTCATTCAGAGATTCAATAGACATCTAAGGATGACCAAGAACTTGACATTTATTCTACCATCCTGCCTCTATCAACAGATTTATGAAAGTGACCCCGTATAGC